GCGATAAGAGCTGCGTTTCAAAATACCATAGGAATTCTTATAGCCGGCTAAAGAAGGCTACAGAAAATCATATAGCTGGCTGTAGAATGCGGAGAAAATCATACGGCCGGGCTATACGAAGCTATAGAAAATTATGCAGCCGGGCTATAGTTCCTATCGCCGGGCTAAACACTTTATCGCCTGGCTGTTGCTTTTTCGCCATCGATTATAAAAGGCTATAAGAAATTGTGTAGAAATTCGTGTGCTTTGGAAATCATTAAGTTTGACACGGAACCACCTTAATATTTACGAAACACACATTATATTTTCCTTTAAAACATATTTTTTTTCATCAATTAAAATGAGAATAATCCATACAGGATGTGCAAACATTTCAAAATCATGAGTTGAATAACGCTAACTCCGCCAGATTAAATATTAGAGCCTAACACAAAGCGGAGCGGCGACGCACTGGCGCCTACAAACCTGACAGGGATACTTCACGTGTTGCGCAACGCGTGAAGTATCCCTGTTAGGTTTGTAGGCGCCAATGCGCGTTTCGCGCTGGCCGCCCGCCTGCCGCGCTTCGCCGCAGCGTGCCACGGCGCTTGAAGCAACTATTTCACACCAGAGGTATTGCTCAGTATCATACGAAACAGAAGGCGCTCTAATAGATTTGGAATGGCAGGCATCTATCAAAAGTACGGAGCTTTCCTCGCAAAATAAATCAAGATACGGCCCAAAAAGAGAGCAGTAGTCCAAAAACTCACCAAGTCTTAGCATCCGTAATTAGTAACGTTTAGCATGCACTTTATCGCCTGGCTGTTGCTTAATTGCCATCGGCTATAAAAGGCTATAAGAAAGTGTGTAGCCGGCTATAGAAGCTATTGGAAATCTCACAGCCGGCTGTAGGTCTATGGTATTTTGGAACACAGATTCTACTGCCAATTTTTACCAGGGTATGAGGGTCTTGGAGGACAAGGCGCGTAAGTGCAGTTTTTGCCATTTCGAGAAATACGTGTTTGAAGTTTCGAAATTACATGGATCCTTATAGCGGAAAGTAATTTCAAACTGACTTGTTGGTGCTTAAAAATTGGAATTTGGAAGCGAATTTTTCTTAGAATATGCATTATGACTTATTTTACTTGAAATTATTATTATCTCATTTTTTTCAAAACCTGCACTTATGCGCCTTGTCCTCCAAGCCAGAGGAAATTTACATGAAAATATACACACTTAAAATTGGTGCAAAATTTCATGCCCGAATCACCTAGGGCGAAACACACACATAAAAAAAAAACTATCAAAAACACGCGTTTCAATGTGCGGCGGGTTTTGACAGTAAAAGGATCCAACACAGAAAAACGATATAGTGCGCTGAGCACTAACTGTATAGATCAAATGGAGCCATATAATATGGCAGTACTGCTGAGACCTACGGTCTGTAGGGCTGGACCCTAATGTTTTAGGGCTCAGCGCTACCGTCATACTAGCTGGCGCTCCATTTGCTCTAAACAGTTAGCACTGTAGTGCTTAGCACGTACCTACTGTATCGTTTTTTCCGTGAAAGTTACACAATATGCCTTCCACTCTTCATTAATACTTCAAAGACGTCTCGTAGGCATAAATAGCTGTGTAAAAATCATGCGCAGCCCTTTGAGATAACCAAACTGAGGTACCAAAGATACTCACATCCCACACCTGTATCCAACTAATCGAGCCTAAGCGATATCTTTGCAGAATAAAGGAAGAATGGAGATGTTGCATGTGTGAGGGATTTGCGATTTGAGTGTTAATTCTTATGTAAAAGCTCGCGAGAAACACGATGGTGCCACTGGTTATCTCTGAAATCATCTCCCAAGCTCAAAAAAGCTCTCAAAGTGAGGCCAAAATGGAGGGGATATCCCGCCCTACCCTGAGAGTCCACCTCTACATCAAAACAAACTCTCCATGCGAGAGCTTTTTTTGAGCTTGGGAGATGATTTCAGAGAAAACCAGTGGCACCATCGTGTTTCTCGCAAACTTTTACAAAAGAAATACCAGTCAAATCGCAAATCCCTCTCACATGCAACATCTCCATTGAAAAGCACACTGTCATCTTGGATCCTCGCAGTAAGGCCGTTGGCGCGGCGCCGCACAGTGGATTGAGTCAATTAGAGAGGTCGGACAAAATTTGGAAACTTTAAACGCTCACAACTCCGTTTAGGTATGTAAAACTTAGAGGTTCTGAAAGTGATTTCCTCGTGAAATTTTCTCTTAGAACCTCCCAATGAACTTTGAAATGTGACGACATTAACATCAAAAGCAGTTTTAGTCAAAAATTTCATGTCCGACCTCCCTAATGGACTCTATCCACTGTGTGCCGGTGGAGGAAGGGTGCGTGAGATGCGTTTACTCGTGTTGGGCACAATTTTTGTGAAAGCCCTGTCAACACTAACAAGAGTTCAGTTCCGTAAACCAATCCCTGTTTGGACAAGGCCTTCCACTTATAAAAAACGAACGAAAAATTTATGAAAGAACAAACATAAATGTGGTTAAAAATTTCAACTTCCACCGCCGCGCCGACCGCACTATATTGCCGCAATGCGTGAAGTATTCATGCAGTCTTGTAGGCGCTATGCGTTTCACGCCTACCGCTACTGACTACACTGTTTGGCGCAATGCGTAAAGTATTCATGCAGTCTTGGAGGCGCTATGCATTTCAAGCCGACTACTGCTGAGTGCTGACCGCAGTGTGTTTGACGCAATGCGTGAAGTATTCATGCAATCTTGTAGGCGCTATGCGTTTTATGCCGACCGCCGCGCCGCTCCGTTCCAAGGTCAAATTGCGTGTTCGGTTTCTCAGTTAATACTCGACTAATTAAAGGTGTTGTCTCTTGTATCACCGAAAGACGACAAAATTAGAAATTACTGTACTTTTAGGTACTCTCAGGAAATGAGAGATTTTGTCGCCTTATCTCGTTTGAAATTTATTTTCTGAATCAGATTTATTTCTTTTTGATACCTACATTCAAAACAATTGCAAAATTTGCCGCCATGGGCCGCGGCCCATGTGCCCATCCCCTTAATCCGGCCCTGGTTTTAGCTAATTCAGTGATTCCATCTAAAAGAGTTTAGACGAATTTCGAAAATTTGACACGCACGTGCGCCGCGGGCTAAGTGGTGAGTGCCCGGGCAGTCAAGACGCCTTCACTTTCGTGAGTATGCAGCATGGACATCCATGGGGCTCGAATAGTTGCATCCAGGAATTAAAATAATTCCATAGTGTTCGTTGCATTCGACCGCATTTACACACACAATTTTTGATGCAAACTTAAGGGAAGGCCGGCTAAAAATTCTCGCATAGAATCCAAGGCAAAGATCAAGTAAATGCTTCCCCTCGAGATTTTTTCTTCATATACAAGTATTTGTGTTTTTTCAAGCAACCCTCACTACATATTCACAAAATGTTTGCACGGCTTTGAGGAATCCCTCCCTGTGAAAAAGGATAGGTCGATTTGAACCTCTTATTACGGCCGCAAGTGGATTTCATGAGACCTTAAAAGTATTGTATCGACCTGAGAAATTTTTACTACTTCGACAGGAGCGGAGGCGGAAGTGAATGACCGCGAGAGGGACAAAGAAAGAAAACCGGACTGCAGCCCTTATAGGTATATAAACGAAACCTTTTTTATTTAAAAAAAAAAAAATATGGAATTTCGAGGGCTCAAATCTGATAAGGTACATTTAGCAAATCTTCAGATGTATCGCTACACTTGAAAAATTTTCTCGCAAAAACAGGCCTAATAGATATCCAAATCTCACTGGTAAAAGAGATCGCTTCATTTTTTAATACATACATAGATTCTCTGCATAACATTGAGGGTGCCTGAGGAATAAATTCAAAATTCAGTCCTTAAAGTCGTTTCTCCTTCCAAAAGTTTTCATTTATTACAGAAAAAAAGGTTGAACTTATTAAATTGCTGACACTCCTTAAGGTTCTGAAAAAGTGAGAGAAATTTAAAAACAGAACTCAAGTTTAAGAGGACGACATACTTATATTTCAAAGATAAAGTTTTATTTCCTGATCAACAGTACCTACATGTTGGAAAAATATCGACAGCACAATGTGTTGATGGTGATAGAAAATTAATCAGCAAAACACATATTTTAGCGACTATTGAAATTGATACAGTGACAGTATAGCTTTGGCCCTGCAAAATAACAGTATCAAAATAAATTTATGTGCATAATGGTAAACGAGAGAGCTTCTTGGTTCTCAAATTATTTTAACTCACAGTGTCTTTAACAAAAAATAGAAGAAAAATACATAACTGTCTACTTCAATTGCAACTAAGGAAATTATTTACAAGACAGGAAGTATGCTGAAAAATATAAATTATGAGGTTCATTTGAGCCATAAAGGCTGATTTGACACGCAAAATGTATAAATTAAGTTGTACATGCTACAACAGGGGATGGCTAATTACATAAATGTGCGATACATAATTGAAAGATGTCACAGGTTACAGTTTATTCCATGCAAGGACTTTGGGAGGATCAACTGAAAAAGTAATTTTAAATAATGAAATTAAATGCTTCAATCACAGATATTTTTGAAGAAAATATCTGAGATAACCTCCTGCTTCCCACTGCTGAGTAAACTAAACAAACTTGTATTGTAACTGGGCCAAGATGTTTAGTTCTGTGTGACTTTTTCAGGCCGTATAAGCCTCATGAAGTACACTCAACGGTAGTGCTTAGAGGGATGACACAAGTTTTTATGGACCTTTCAACAAATAAAACAAAACAAAATTGTACAAAATTTTTGTAGAAGAGTTAGCCATTAAATTTTATAACAAGCTTTCAACTTGTTTGTATTGATTTTAAAAATTAAAGAAAAATGATAAAATATGAGAAAATTTGAGCAACAACACCTCATGAACTAGAGTTTTATAGGGTTGACATTAAAAGATTACTTCTTGTAAATTGCAAATTTAAAAAAATAGTCAAAAAAAAAAAAAAAAAAAAAAAAAAAAAAATTAAAGTTAAAGCTAAAATGTTCTATTTGAAGAGTGTTGTAAACTTAAAAAGAATACAAACATTAAACTAATGATGACAAAGAAGCAAAAGTTATTGGAAAACCTGAGGAACTGACATTCTTTACAGAGAATTTTAATCTGAGACATAACTTGGCATGAAAACAAAATCTGGCACTGTGGAAATTGTTAAAACACTATTATTTCAGTGTAATTTAACATCATTTGTTACTGGGAAAGATGTTTTGAATATTGTTGCTAATTATTTTAGAGCTTAGAATTGATTGCCACAAGTCATTGAGTTGAATAACTAGTGCTTCTCCATGACTTTAATCTGACTTGCCGATTTTGTTTAAAAAAAAAAAGAAAATTGCATTTGAGATTATCAGTAAGAAAAAACTTGATAAGACTGCACATAATGGTTTTAAAAATAACATCATATTAATGACTAATAACAGTTTAAATCCAGATAATAGTAAGACTGAATTTGGCAAAAATTTCTTTTAATAAATGCTGAAAACTTTCTTTTTCTTCAAAATTGAGATACATGTGAATTTGTCTATTGCTGACAGTCAAAACATAGGTAAGTCTTACTTGATTTTACAGCAAAACCAGAATCAGATTGAACAGAAAAATGGTGCAACAATAAAAAAGGGAAAATTTCAGGTAATAGAATTGAATTACAAAGGTGAAATTTTAAAGAACGATCTGCAGGAAAATCTCATCATCATTTTATCGGTACACAATTATTTTAGCTTAATCTTTTTCATCAAGGAAGTAAAAGTGAGGGAATTTTAGGATACTTTCATCAGTTAACACAAATGCTTCGTTGACATAACAAAAATACAAATTACACATATGAGGGTCAGGATACACAATACAAATTAGAATTAGATAACATTCTGAGAAAGAAAGAAAGAACAATGAAAACTAGATACAAAGACCGAAAAATGCTCGAACAGAAAGCTAAAGGAGATGAAATAAGAATCATACTTTTACATAACCACACTAACTTATCACAGTTATAAAAACCAAGAGGGATAACAAATTTTATTTCTTGAAGAAACTTAGTTCAAATGGTTAATTACCCATGTGTATTTGTGGATTAGGGTTGTATAATTTACCAACATAACTGTAAAACGTGTCTACACTTGTAGGCTCAGATTTGGGAATTTCCATTGGATTTGGTTGGCTAACGACTATGAGGGGCTGGGGGTGCTGTGGGGGCTGGAGGGGCTGGTGGGGCAGAGGTGGCTGCTGCCAACTCCTATTGAACTGCTCATCAATATTTTTGTGAATTGAATGGTTCATCATATGTTTATCTAAATTATTTTTCTGTACAAACATTTTATCACAAATCGGACACTGAAATTTTTTCTCACCAGTGTGCCTGGCAACATGGGTTTTCAAATTACCCTTTTGGCTGAAAGCTTTTTCACAATAGGGGCACTGAAACCTTTTCACACCAGTGTGAATTTGAAAATGAGTTTTCAAATTGCCTTTCTGCGTGAATGACTTGGTACAGATTAAACAGTGAAATTTTTTCTCTTTCGTATGAGTGAGGATGTGGCTTTGTAGATTACCTTTTTGAACAAACACTTTGTCACAAAATTGACAGGCATGCACTTTTTCTTTCGTGTGGAGCATGATGTGCGTTTTTAAGTTGCCTTTCTGCACAAAAGTTTTCTCGCAGTATGGACAACTGAAATTTCTCTCACAATAATGAGACATCATGTGGGTCTTCAAATTCCCTTGTTGCGTGAATGTTTTATCACAAAGAGTGCACGCAAACCTCTTGTTCAACTGTTGATTATAGTGCTGCTGAGCTGCATTCCACAATGCATAGTTGTAGGTTTCATTATTCTTCCCGTTCATAGGACCTCCCTAGGTGAAAAGAAAAGATAGATCAGATTATGTAGTTACAAACATACCACATTGAATGAAAATTATAATGATTTCACAATTAGCAAAAAAATCAGGGCATCAATTTTTTGACAGACTCAGCTACTAAATTCAGTGAATCAGTTGCACTTCTCTCAAAATCATAATTGCAAAACTGATTGCTTCTTATTGACGTTAGATAATCATATCTATCAAATTTTCAAGGACCCCAATCAAATGAATTGACTTTGAATACACATAAAAAATAATGTAGTTAAAACAGTAACTTCCACATTTTATGCAATTAGAAAAGGCACTTTAAAAATGCATAAAATATGTTTCTCTCGGAGAAGTACATCATCAAAGCACTATGAGGTCGAAAAATAGTCAAATATAGTCGACTAGGGGTCGAAAAATTTAATGTTGCATCATTGAAGAACATATAAATATAAATGGCAAATTTAAGTGCCGCCAAGGGATTTCTATCTTCAGCTTGCAAAAATATCTTTGGTTTTATTTTGCGTGTTACTTTCATCAATGTCACACCCATGATTTTATGCGCTATTCAGCCAACAGATGATAATGAAACAGTCGCAAACATATTTCAGAGCTGAAAAGCAGACTTGAGTCCAGCACTCCTATATTTTTTGTCTGCAGAGTGAGATCAAAATGTTCTATTAGAAACACCAGGTACAATTTGACTGCACTGACTACAGTTTTAACAACTCAGTCACTGTATTTTTAAAGTCTCTAAAGAAGTAGTGGAGGGCACAAAGGAAACGTGACTGCTGAATGAGAAAAAATCACCACACCTGCAGAGGATCAAACCCTGAATATCCGCATGAAAATGAAACTCTTATTAAAACTGTTGACGAAGAAAATCCTACATGCTTGAAAAATGCATTGTAATGGGAAACTTAGACTCTTCTTTAATGAATCTTCTTGGATCCTCAGAGAAAAAGTATAGGGATGGATTATTTTACCTGCTCTAAAGAAGGATTTCGCATTGCAATATCCATCTTCTTTGCCATCATGTTCAAATATAAATCAGGATCAGTCTGGCATTCTTTATCAGTTCTTTCAAGCTTAATGATTCGATGGTTTGGGGTTTCTTCAGCCACATTAGTAGTTTCAATGACAACCGTTCTGGCGACTGGCTGTAATTCACTCATCGTTAGGACATTAAGCTCTTCTCCTGTTGAATTTTCTACGACAATGATTCCGTTCTGGTTTGGATCGATAGTTTCCATTGTTAGTTTGTGCTTGAATCAAATGTTGGTATCTTGGAATGGATCAAACAGAAAAAAAATATTATTACACACTTGAACGTGAAATATTAAAAGCAACATCTAAAAAAAAAACAAAGGAGAGAAAGAAGGAGGAGAAAATTGGAGGAATCATCGACTATACCCTGTCACATACCTGAGAAAAAACTGTTCCATATCCAATCAGATTCTACAATCAAATAAATTTCATAAGATGGTAGACAGGAGAATCATGCCATTTATCTGGAGAACGTTGTCAGAGGCAGCGAGGAACATTTTTCGGCAAGACATGGATATTTCGGGCCTCCATTATTGGCAGCCAATTTCGAAAATTATTTTTGATTTTGTAATGCATCAGTTATCAGGAAAATCAAATTTTCCCTAAAAGTCCTGGTTAATTTTTTTTAAAAAAAGCCCTGGATCTTCCAGGAGTTCCAGGGTATTTGTGGGTGATGGAGAAAAATGACATTGTTCAATTTTGGACTCAGCATTGAAGAGTGCGCAGCCTTCATCTAATTATAACATGCTCTGTATGATTTTTTTTTCTTTCTTTGTAATTTGTTAATGCAGACTTCCATGATTGATAGTTTCTTTTCTTTAGAAAAAAAAAGGAAATGAATGAAAGTAATTTTGTAACATTCCAAAGAGAATGCAGCATTCTTGCATAAGTACAATGATTAAAAAGGTCTTTTTTCATCATACCAAGGTGAATTGATGCGATGATTTTGTGTTTCACAGACGAGACAACTGCAAGTACGAGAAGAGTCAAGCAATCTTGAGCTAACACAAAACTTTAAGCTGTCCGAAATCTGAAAAATAATTTCACACTTTCATTAATATTAAAGCAGAATAAAGCAAACATAAGCAGATAATGTACTTTGTTAATTGAAATAATTATTTCAAACCAGCTGTACCATAGTAGCACAAAACCACAAAAGAAAAATGACTTTGTATTGTTTAGTTATCAAAATGCTAATCGGTAGAACTACAATATCTGACAACCCAATGCTCTGATGCCAAAATAGTTTTTCAAAAGCAACTTTTAATGTTACCTACATTAGTAACTTCCAATGTCAAATTAGCAACTTTAGATGTTACACTGGGAACTTTTAGTTTTGCAGTAGCATTATTAACTGTTACACTAAGGACATAGTCACACAAGGGTAGACTAGTTACTTTTATTTTCTTTCATTGGGTCTCTACTCAATCTTTAACTACTAAAGTACTTCTCAAAATCAATTCTGAACATTAAAACTTTGATGCCGAGCAATTCTTTAATTCTTTGGTGCAAGTGATGTTTTAGTTGCTAGGGTTGTCGTGATTCGTTTTTGCTAATTAACATGCCTGAGTCTCCCAATCTACCTAGAGTATTTTCTGCTGACTTCATGCTTAAAAAGTTATATTCGCCCAGGCCCTTGTCACAATTGCCACCTAAATGCATTTGTTAGTTTCTTGATGCATTCGGCTGAAAATGCTGCAAGGTGGGGTTGACTTTCATGCTGGCATATGATGAGTCCGTTTGTATACTCTAATACTCTGCCGTTCTAAGGAAAAATGCCGTATGAGCCATCAGGCGTTGCCAAATTTCCTTTGAAAAATTACAAATTAAGTATGCGATTATTCAGAAAATTTTACTCGTAATTTGATACGGAAAGTCCAAAGATTTCATGGAAAAATAATCATAACCTTCTTAAAAATAATCGTTTTCGGAGAAATAATATGGCAACTATCGAATGTTCATACAGCGTTCTTCTTTAGCATGGCAGTGCTCAGGTATCTTCTTATCTAGCAGTCACATAAACGTTCTGCCGTGACTTAAGAAAGAGTAGAAGAGTCACTTCTCAAATCCTTCTTAAAGGTTGAAGTGCGTAAAATCCAGACGACCAGACACCATTGATACAAGACAACCAACACTTTGATAGCCATTGCAACAAATGTGAAGGAGAGATTGGCATTATGCAAGGACATGCATTGCCCAGGTTTGAATAGATAGCCCCATACGATGGAAGATGGGACTAATCTGATCCAATTTAAGGGAACCCAGTCGAAAAAATCTCACGCATTTTCCGGAGGATATAAGTTACCGCAAATAGGAGTCAAATTTAGTTTGAATTCGTCACAAATGTGAACGTGCAAACTCTAGTAAATATCCCTATGGAAAGTATCTCAAGGAATGAAAATATGGCTTCACTTACGAGGTAAAATAGTCCAGCAACCTAATGTAAAGAACACTACCATTGAAGCACACCATAGTTTTTAGGATAAAAATATATCGACAATAACGACGAAAGTGGGATTGGTTATCAGTATTTAACACTCCACGCACAAAGTGTATCGACAATTCATCGGTAACTGCACTTGAAATTACGACCTTCCGCCGTAATAAAAATAAGTCACAAATGCCTACTTACATAAAAACTTTCAAGCTAACCTAGAAAATTAACCATAAAAAACTCGGAACTTGGTTCAACTTTGGACAGGGAGGAGAGGAGAGCAAAGACATAGAGGGACACTCTAAAATGTGCGCAGTAGGCGGAAAGCGTTCATTGCGCAGTAAACATTGCGTGACAAGAGACCAATGAATGATCGTCTTTTTGTGTTGTTGTTTCGCGTGTTGACAATTCGATTTTTTGATACGGCGTTCGTCGTGTCTTGTGCGAGATGTACTAACATTTTCCGCTGTTTCGCCCTATTTTCTCACCATCAGACCGTCAGACTGTGAGTAAAGGACAAATTTTATGGTAGTTCTTTTGGTAGGTCAACAATTAGTCATTCATCTTTTATTTATAACTCTATGTTGTACTGTATTATCTTTTGGTCAAGATCGTTTCAAGATCTTGTCACCTCTTAAAGGGAGTACACTTCTGTTGAATGCCAAAGTTTTTCTATGGTGGCTCGGGGGAAAATTGGTAACTATCTTACAATCAATCCATTGCTTAAGTTTTGAAAAGTAGGTAGAGCTCTTTTCAGATAGCTTTATCTCTTTCACTGCATGTGCGCAATAGGAAAGTTCCCATCCCGCGAAAACAGCGAAAGAGGCAAAGTTACCTGAAACGGGCCAAGTTCACTTGCTCATTCAAATGCTGAAGCACAGTCAGAGGTATGAAACCTTTTAACAACATCCTTCAGCTCACTGGCTCAGCATATCACCGACCTCTTATAGTGATGCAGGTTGTAGTCAACCATTCCACTAGAAAATCATCAAACTCGAGTGACGATCCTTTTATGGAAAGAGATGCTTTCAAGTACGAAACAAAGAAAGTGCAAGTTTACAACTTAAAGATCAGCATAGATCGATATTGCAGGGCTCAAAATGCCTTCCTGCTCAAAATTGCTGTTTTCAACTTTCATTCTCTCACTTCAGAATACTTCTTGATTAACTTAATTGTGGAAAATTTGACTTGTGTTTTTTTTCCTCTACAAGTCCACACCTACAACTATTCACACTACTCTAATGATTACTTCTGAGCAGTGCATTTAAACTTTTACTCCGCATTGTTGATCCTAATTTGTGTTCATAATTCTATCTTCTCATACCTATTTTCATAAGAATTCTGATCAAATAATACTTGTAAAAGTTCATAAAGACACTAACAAAAATAAAATAGCCAGGAAGGTACTAAAATTAAGTCTAAAATCAAGAACCAATAAACACAAATGAAGTCAGCCATCATTACTTATACAGGATTGGATTTCATTGGAGATTTTAGAGAAATCTTGTCCTGTATTTGGCAAAACAAGAAATTAAGTACATACTCAACCGCAGTGTTTAATTTTCCTCTCCTTTTCTCAAAGAGATCCATCTTAAGTATACTCAAAAAAGAATACTAAAAACTGGTTTTTTCTTCTTCATTTTTTCCTCTCTTCCTTTTTCTGTTGTTTTATAATTTAACCCTTTCTTTTGTTTAGAAATGATGGATTCGAACTAAAAGCATTCATGCAGTCCTCAGAACTTCCGACACAAAGACTGGCCTCCGAGGCCTTGTCTGCCACCATGCCACCTAAACCAATGAGAAGAAAGTTTCAGGTAGTTTCACCTAAATTCTCTGTGCATTTCGCTATGGGTGGGTAATTGTCCCGCCAAATATTTTAGTTTCTTTAGAAGTTAGTAAAATAGATTCCCCTTCCCCTTTCTTCACTTTAAAAAACAACTAACAATTTGAGAAATTTCTTTGCTGAAATCCTAAAAAACTGTTTAGTTCTGGATTTGCTCTGTAATACATTGAACTTACTTTTGGAAAATGTTGAGAGTATATTGATCTATTCACATTTCAAGTACATTTTAACAAAAAAGTTGGATCAAAAGGGCTTTTTCTGAAAAATCGATCACACAGTTTGACCATTTCAGTGATTTGGTGCTTTTGAAATATTTTTCAGACTCATGGTAAAAATCCTCTAAGACGATTCTCATTTGACCAATCGCTCCTTGAGGTAAAGAGCAATTGTCATGGTCACCATCACAAACCTAGTCGGCACTGGCTGATGAATGAAATAAAGAGATTGAAAGAAGAGAATGAAACACTTCAACAACAAACTACTCCAGGTAACTACAGTGTCTTTTCAGTAGAAGAAAAAGAAAACATCCTAATTAAAAATCAGTGTTGCCTCAATTAAAATATAGAAAGGACACTTTTGACAGGGGACCATTACTTCCTGTCTTTTTGGATAAAGAGATAAGTTACAATTTAGAAAAATAAAGATAAAAAAATCAAATGAGAGTTGTATGGTTTTCCCGCAAGACATCAAGGCCTCAAAGATGTATATCTTCACTTAACAGTATTCGCTTGGGTCAATCATGTATGTAATGAGTCAAAAGATTCTTTCCTTACTCATTTAGGGTATTAATTTTACCCAGCTCATTCCTAGGAATTTTTAGTACAATGGTTTCGTTAATCTTTACAGAAACTCAGCAAGGGCCTCCTGACGAGTGTACATCATTAAAACGTCGCTTAGAGGAGTCCAATAATGTAAGAGCAAATTTAGAGAAGCAAATTTCTGAACTTCTAAAGGCTAATGAGAGTTATTCTCAGACCTCTGAATCACAAAAAAAGAAAATTGATGAATTAAAACAGGATGTTTTTATTTTGAAGAACTTGGTGTATCGGTGAGTCATTAGGATCTTTTCAAAAAGCGAGAGGTTGAAAGATCCTCAAGTTTTTTCGAAAAATGTTTGACCTTTGAGTCTCATGCACACTCACTCATTAGTATATGTAGACTTTAGACACACCTACAGCACAAAAGAATGAGTTGTTTGTTTCTGTCATTTCTCCATTCTGGCACAGTGTTCTGCAATGGGCGAATAGAAAAGGTCTGTACGAGAAGAAAACGTCTCGAGTTTCCTATTCAAAATCTTCCTTCAAAAACGATTCGAAAATCAACTTCCGAAGGGAATTTAAGAAGTATTTTAACTTAAATCAAATTGAAGTTAGATTCCATGAATGAGGTCATTTGTATTTTTACCATTTTACCAATGTTTATTGTAAACACATATATCTTGTTTAGGAGTTTATTTCTAGATTTACTGTTGTGAGATCCGTTTCCTTCACGAAATTTTGGAGTGGAAACATACTACATAGTGCTTTAAGACCTACTTACCTTGCCTAGTCGCCCATTTTATGTTGATATCTACGTATTTTACCTATTTTAATTCTTTCATTGCATCTTTTCAATCACTTATCAAGATCATCAGACTAAACTTGCCTACAGACTCTGCTAACTTCTGTCATGTTTGTTGCACTCTCATTTTCAAATGTGTATGTGATTCATGCATACTGTTCCTTATAGCATTTGTCCCACTTCTTATTCAACTACTTGAGGTGGCTTTTTGTAATGGTAGGGAATCAACATGAACCAAACTATGAAAAGCTAGGTGTTTCCTTCAAAAAGTTTCTACAGAAAAAAGGAGTTTTTGCACTTTTTTGGTAGGGAGACAAACTCAGGAAAATGATCTGTATTCGTGACCAAATCTATGAAATGGGATTTGACCCTCTAGAAGTTCCAGGAGAAAATTTGCAGTGACTTCTTGCCAATGTGAGCAGGAAGAAAATCTGGAAAATTTAGGACAAGCTTCTGACTCTAAATGTCTCAGAAATTGAAGGAGTTATTAGCCCTGAAGTTCAAAGACAAATATTCTTAGGATGTAGAAAAACAATGTTCAAGTGTTTGTAAAAAGTTCCGCAAAATTTTCTCCCTGAAGATGAGATCCCCTTTTACAGATTCAGTTACCTGTATGTATATTCTCCTGAAAGAGGGTCAATTCCTGCACATGAAATAAAAATTTTTCTCCAACAGTATCATCTCTTTTTTGCGCCTCATTAATAATGATACACATTTTATTGCTGTACTTTCCAGCCTAGAGCTTGTCAGACCCTCAAGAAAAATATTTAGGTACCTATTTTTCTGGGCTCTTTGGAATCTTCTCGGTACGCTGTAGAATTGATTTATTTAAATAATTATTACAGGTTAAATGTTGAACTAGAAAAGTATCAAGACAAAGTTCGAAACTTGAAGAATCAGATTGATGCTACAGATGATTGTCACACTGTCACGGAGGATTCTGGAGTTGGAGATGCAAAGTTAATTCATCAAACGGCCAAAAGCGGTTAGTCAGTTTTTTTTGTATCAAATCAATTTTATGAGGCAGGGATGTCTTTCATTGGGGTCTCCTCATTCCACGGCCAATGCAGCTGCAACTATTTGATAGAAAAAGTCTAGGAACACACACACGCATGTCAGTTTTACATGACTCTGCAGAGTGTCCATGGATCTGAAAAACCTGGACCAAAGAATTTCATCAGGTCAGAGAAAATTTTTAAGGAACTCTTTCAGTAGAAAGGTTCAAATCTTCCGAAAATTTATAGTGAAATTAAAAATTAAATCGCCTAAGAGCTTTACTTTTAGTTCCATGCGTGCAAATTGCCTTTGTGTAAAGTCAGGAAATTTTTATTATTTTGATCCAAAAAATTTGGAAAAGTCAGGGAATTTTTTTCCGCTGAGTCAGCACACACCTTGCTTCAATAATCTACTAATCTTATTGAGAAATTTGTTTGCACTCCTAGCATGACTGCGCCCTCTTTTCTGTCACAACTTCTTTCTTATGTTGCCTATTTCGCTCTTTTTTTCCAGATGCTAAAGCTCACGTCCCAAGCTGGACACGATCAGAAATTCATGCTGTCGCACCTTTACTCAAGGCCTACCAAGAATCTTTAGATGAGAAAGATGAGCTAATTCAAAATTATCAAAAAAGCCTTGATACTTTTGCAGGACGTTGCAAAGAAATAGTTGCAGAAAATGAGAAATTACATGCTGAGTTGCAAGGTGCCTACAAAAAGGTAATCCAGTATTCTCAGTATTTAAAATTTTCGTTGGACTGAATTGTTAGGTGCTTTAGAAAAACATATGGTCTCAAAATCTATTAAAGTGAAAAAGATGTTAAGAGACTGTTCTTTCTATGATTTTGTGACTAGCGCTACTGACTCATTTCATTTGGCAGTGCTGCAAGTACACGGAAAAAAATAAATTGCTGATTCAACAATTCAATTGCTAAAAACAGTGAGTGCAATGTTTCAACGTAGATTTTACAACAAAAAAATGCTACTCTAACCACATTGTAAACTAATTTAACCACGGGGGTGGTTGAAGTAGCATTTTTTTGTTGTAAAATCTACATTGAAACTTTGCACTCACTGTTTTTAGCAATTGAATTGTTGAATCAGCAATTTAATTTTTTTCCGTGTACTTTTGTAAGTCAGAATTTGTCTCTGAATATTTTTTGTGCACCACTCTATGTTTCTGACTGTCGTTTTGTTTTACTCTAGCATAAAAATAGCTGATCCAAAAACATTCTGGATTCAAACGTAGAATGTTGAAAGACCCATTGGTTCATTCAAATCTGCAATTTCTGTCATACATCTTGACTTTTCAGAATACCTCTGCAGATTTCTGGACAGACCGATGAAGTTTTTTTTGCTCTTTCATCCGTCCTGAAAAGTTTCCGCATACACACGCAAAATCTGATACACAAACCAAGATCAATATCATCAATAGCTCTCCAATTTTTCAATCATATAATGCATGGTATCCAAATCCAATGCTAAAGTATATAACAATCTCGCTGTAACAAAATTTTTAGTGCAAATTTATTATGTTTTAATATTTTATATCGTAGGGCGAAGTGTCTTATGCAGAATGGGAGTCTGTACAACAAGATGCTGCCTTTACACGTGAGCAGAACGTTCTACTTATGCGGCAAGCAAAACTCCATCAGAACAAAATTAAAGAACTCCGGGAAATTTATCAAACTAATTGTAAGTTTTTATGAAATTATGTTATGAGCAATGAATTAATTATACCCTCTTTATGTTCCAGTATATTAAAACCTAAATTTTCCTTTTTTTTTTTTTTTTTTTTTTTTTTTTTTGGTGAAAAGTCTAGAAATATTTTATATTTTTCAGATGGTATTTGCTGACTGTTCCATGAAATTTGAAGATAAGCACTCATCGTAATTAATCTTATTATTGCAAATGAGTCTGAACTCTTTAAAGGAACAGTAGCATCTACTAGTAGTAATTTATCAATGTGTAAAGGGAAAGCAACAACAACCACTGCTATCAATGATAGTCTAATCTTCTCCTTTCGCAAAATAAATTTTGATTTTTTGCAAGATCATGACTAAGTTGTAGGAAATATATATTGTACCTACTTCACTGTTAGCTATGCATTCATAATGCCAAGCAAAGCTGAAGAAAACTTTACTAACAATTGAATTGCTGTGGAGAACCATGCAAAAAGTACAAAACTATGTAAATAAGCACTCTCTCGCTAGTGAAATGTCAATATTGCGGACGCATTTTGCCAGCTCCACACTCTGACATCCTCAGAGTGACTGGTTTCTTGATTGTTGGTGACGGCCGCCATACCTCTCCTACTTTCCCTGTCCACCTAGGACTTAGAACAGGGGGTTGTAGTTGACTTTACTCATACCGTGGTTAAAATTGTTGAGGTGCTTGAAAGTAAAAATGTTTCCATGATTAACGACTGATGATTTCTATTGAATAACACCAAGAAGATGTTCCAAATGCTTTGATGCTCCTGCATATAATTCAGACAAAGTCTGCTTAGTGCTAATTTAGAATGTATTTCCAACAGTGGCAGAAATAGCTGTTGATAGAGATCAGCTTCAAGAAAAATGGCAAACAGCAAGGTCTGAACTCCTTGTACTCAGGGGACGTTTCAGTGTTCTATCCGATGAGCATGACAAACTGAAGGAGGAACATGACTCGAGAGTACCCGCAGCTGTTCATACAGCTGCGGTCAATGAGGTTAAAAGGTACTCTTTTATTTTTCATTGTAGAATTTTTTCATTCATTTTTACCTTCAAACCCAAGGATGCAAAAATTTAGAAGACCATGTGAGCCTGAACAAGACCGATGGAAAATGGCACAACCAGATAAATCGGGCAACACCAAAATTTTGCACCGTTTCTAATCATACTTGAAAGAAGTACCGAGGCAAAATCCTCCTTAATTTTTCTGAACAAAAAATTGCACTAAAGAAAAAAATAAATATTAGATAAAAATATGTGAATGAATGTGTCACAATCAAGGCGTAGGAAAGTCAAAAATGCCTGGAAAACCCAGAAAAAGTGTAAACATATTAAACCAGATTTTTTTAATATCTCCTTATGCCATCATGTTACCATCTTGTCCTTAGAATTTCTGATCGTTTTCATGAGCTTTCTGTTTTTTAAATTTTGTTGGCTTTTTTTGTAACATAATTGCTTCATTTCTTCACTTTTTCATCATCTCAGTCCAAAAACTTATTGAGTAATTGTTTCACTTAATTAATCTTACACTTTTCAAATGACCACTACCGGAATGCATAAATTTATTTTTATAAATATATATTTCTCTCAACAGGCTATTCGAGGAATTGAAAACAAGATATGAAGAAGAAAGGGAAACACTTTGTCGAAAGGTAGCAACTTTGGAATGTGATAGGCCTCAATTAGATTCACAAGTTACAACTCTGACAATCGAACGCAGTCAATTTCAGCAGCAGACCAAAATGTTGGAACATCAACTGAAGTAACTAACATTTTTACTTATATATTTCCTTTTTAAAGTCATATTTTAATGAAACTGAGATTTTTCATGAACGTCTCCAGTATGTATTAATTGTGATCAAAATTTGTCGAATTTTTTAAAGAGGCAAACCTTGATGCAGAAATGGAACTATTGCACCTAGATATAGAAATAATTTTGCATGTTAAAATATCATTATCTGCCTCCCAAGCGCAGGAAAATACTGAAATTACACTATTTCAGTATTTCTCTCCTACATTCTATTTATTCACAAGAGAATGGTCTCAGAAATTTTACTGTGATTTTTTGTAATTTTTCTTCACTCTTTGAAAAAAAAACTCTGAAATTTTGAGACTAATTTGTGTAATGGTTCTCCCTCTAAAGAAGTAAAATACTCCCAGAAATGTCTAAACAATGCAGACAAGATACATTGCTTTGTGTGAGAGATAAGAATACTTGCCTAAACACTTTACTATCGTTCGTTCATTTTTTGGATACAATTTTATCAGAGTGAGTCATAGTTGGACGTATTTCTGTGAAACGGAACTGTGTGCATTATGACAAGAGCCCTGTAATGCATGTATACTTATGGGTCTCAGGGCTCATCTCTTAAAGCACATAGTTCTGTTTGGTAGAAATACGTCCGATTGTTCGTTTTGAGACCAATGATTCATCTTCAAGGGTGTTACTCATGAGTGAAGTTCTATAGTCATATCCATAGTTGTTTCTTAAACAGCTCGTTCTCCATGGTAGATCCCACAAAAGAAAACGTGTAGCAGATTTTGCAAATTTTGTGGAAGAGGTTGGAACGAAATTAAGGGGGCCAATCTTGCTCAATAAATTGAATAATTGAAAAATAAATTTAAGGGATTTATGAACAGTATTATGATATTGATTTTGTTCATTTTATTTCTTGTGGTAACTCCTTTCTCCTGTATTGCACCTTTTACTATATTTTCTTTTCTTTAATATTTCCAGGCTTTACAAAGCAAAATGTGATCAACTTCAAAAGCATGTGAAATCCATGGAGCTGTCTCGCATTGCTGCCAAAAGGCACTTAATCAGAGTCATGACTTTTGCAAGAGAGATTATTGCCGAACAGGAAGAGTTTGGGTCAAAATCCAGTAATCCTGGTCAAGATGCTCACCTCAATGCCAAAGTTGAAAGTCTTCGAAGACAGTTAAGAGTAAGTTACTCACATTACAAACCAGAAAACATCGAGAACAATACAAAAGCCAAGCATCTAAAATTAAGACATTGCTGCTATTGTATAGAGGAATGTCTCATTAAAATTTGGCATACAAAATTCCCAAAACTGTCATGTCAAACTTTGAGTCCAATGGTTTGAACATTGCAGTTTGAAAATTGTAGTATTACAAAAATACTGTAAGGAAGTAATTAATTACCGTAAAAAATATTTTTTAGGTTGGTCATACTACTCATTTTAACACTGACAAGATTGCACTCAATTGTGGAACATTGGAACTATGGAAATTTTAACTAAAGTAACTTGGAAACTGAACTATGGGAACATCGAGTAAACATCGATTTTAAGTTGACTAACAGCTCATAGTAGAGCTCTAAGTAGAGTACCTGTATACAGGAGAGCATTTCCATCTCAATCCTTTTACAACAGAAAAAGTGTGCTGCTCTCTAATTGGTCAACTATCATGGAGCCCCAAAGTTGGACCACTGTAAACAAACCCCAGCCCTTCCGCTCCTAGTTTGGCCCAATGTAAACGAACAAGATGGCGAAAAAGTTCCACAAATTTCTAGACAAGATTTTGGGTGTGATAGAAATGTTTTAATACCCAACTTCTGAATTGAGTTCGGATCGTACTCCGATGGATCTTTTGCCCAAAATTAACCTTTGAGTGTGATTATCAGTCATTCTCAGTCGATAATACACGTTCCTCTGGGTCGGGTTTGTTTACAGCGGACCAACTTGGGAGTTCCATGATAGCCTAAAACTGATGAACCAATCAGAGAGCGGCACAGAGATGGCAATACTCTCCTGTATGTAGGTACTCTAGCTCCAAGCTATTGCCCTAAGTCAATGCAGGAAGCTCACAGAACCTTTTTTAATTTTTAAAGCCCGTTTCAGACGATCAAAGTAGAGCTCTCAAAGTGGGGTCACGTGACGGTGACCCTCAAGATGGTCGGCCCGACAATCTTTGAGGACAATGGAGAGTCACATGACACCACTTTGAGAGGTCTACTTTGATCGTATGATGCGGGCTCAAGAGAAAATGTGCAGAGTGGAGCATTTTTTTGTAAATTTTTCATCCTTCATCAGAGCTATTATGTTTGTGGTATAATGTCCATCTAGGAAGTTGAGGATAGTGTCAGTAAGGAACTGGAATTTTTGGATGAGAAACTCCGGGCCAAAGCGACTGGGTTAAACGCAATGAAACGAGGCTTGGAACAAGAATTGCAGTGTCTTCAAGCAGAGGTGAGACAGAGGGATGATGTGATCACTGAGCTCAAAAAACGAAGGTATATCTCCAACTTCAATGTCCATCATCAACGCTTTTTTTACCCCTCCTGATTAATCATCAGAAATTAGAAAGTTGCATCTAATCATACACTGGTCAATTTGACAAGAAGTGTACCCCTCATTCGATTCTCCGTGCAGATTTTTTTTCTTCTCTGCATCAAATGAAACAATCGAAATACTATTCTGCTTTCTTTAAACCTCTATGGCATGAATTAATTTTGGATCTCAGATTCTAGGAGACACTAATCTGTTTTGTAGCTGCATAAAAAAAATAGAGTGCCAAATTCTTTTTCGAAATTTAAAAGTTAAGAAAATCATGTTTTAAAAAAAGAAAAAACTAATGAAATTTTGCAAAATCATGGCACAGGGGCAAGATTCAATTTGAACATTCTTTGAACATGATCATTCCTGACAAGCTGTTTGGTCATGATTTCCTGAACAATGTCCAGCGCGTCATTATTTCTCCCATTTTTTGTTTCGTTTGTGATCCCTTCTCGAGATTCTGGCAGATCTCCATAGAAAACGCACACTGATATTCCTTTATTGGGGCTTAAGATTGCATATATTGCTTCTCTCTTGTTTTTACCTCTTTTTTTTTTATTTGTTACCAGTGATGAAAAGTCTGTGGATGGATTACACAATAATGGTAAAACGAATAATGCCATTAGAGGAAATTCTCAGCCCCCTCCCGAGAAAGCAATTTCTTGATAGGGTAAGTAAGGAAATCAATTTATTTCAACTAATTGCATATAGAAAATTATTCATTTAGAGATACTAGTGTATCCGTAAGTATTCTATTTTACACTGTCAAAAATTACGCGTAGAAATCTGCAATTTTGGCTGTGCAGAATTTGAATGTGCCTAATTTTTTTCCTTTTTCTTTTCTTCTCTTTTTTTCTAAAAATCCACAAACTTGAAATGTAGATTTGCTTGTAATTCATATTAAACATTTAATTTACTCCATAGACCCTTTGCAGGGATGGTTTGCTCTTGTTCCGATTTTTTTTTTCTTCTTTTTTTGTCTTCATGAGATACATTTTTTAACACTTGTGTTAGATTTTCATCTTGTTTTCAAGTGATTAGGATCTTTAATTAGCAGAATTGTGTGCAGAGAAAACAAGTAAACAGAATAATTTTTAACTTAAGTCAACATCAAGCATCTTACATATTGCTGTTACATGATTTTTACTTGCAGGTAATCTCTCCAAGTATGCAACATTTTTGATAGTGAATGTCACATCAGCTATTTTGATTTGATCGGTAATGTTTCTAACGTTTCTATCGGAAAAAATTACGTAAACGGATGATGGTTTTTGGAACATGGAACGTACAAGGAATTTCTACGAAAATGACGGAAGTGGTATCGGAGATAGGGAGTCACGGATTTGATGTCACGGTATTAACAGAAACGAAGAAGAAAGGACAAGGCTCTGTAAGTGTAAAGGAATACGATTTGTTTTATAGTGGCGTGGAAAAAGATCAGCGAGCTCAACAGGGTGTTGCAATTCTTATTCGCAAGAGCCTACGGAAGTGCATCACTACATGGGAAGCTGTTAACCCCCGAATGATAAAGATGAATATGACAGTGTTTGGCCATAAAATCACCATTTTGGGAGTGTATGGAGTCAACGATGATTCCACTGTCGCAGTGAAGGACCAATTTTTCGAAGAATTGAACGAGGAAATTGGTAAGATTGGATCCAGGAGGGAAATCATTGTGTTGGGAGATCTCAATGGTAGAATAGGACGTCAAATTAAAAGTAAGATCGTCGGCCCTTTCGGAGAGGCGGCACTAAATGATAACGGAGCCCGTATCATTGACGTATGTGAGCAAAGGGACATGAAGGTGCTCAATGGGTTCTACCAACACAAGGATATCCATAAATTTACTTGGGTTCAGTCTACTCGCGGATTGAAATCAATCATTGATTATGTGGTTGTCAGACAAGACACGGGAATGAAGATTCAGCAAGTTAGAGTGTGGAGAGGTCTTTCCTGCGGCAGTGATCATTATTTCCTCGGGGCAAAAATAGCTTTCCCAGTGAAAGGGAGCCAGGAGACCAGGCAAGCACAGGAAGAAGTTCACCAACAAAAAGATCGTGTCAAGCTTGTAAACTATAACATTGACAGCTTGCAGCATCCAAGTGTAAGGGCTTTATATGGAAAGCGCTTGGATGAGAAGTTGGGCGAATCAAGGGACGGTGATACCGAACAGCAGTATCAGTTCCTGAAGGATTGCATTCACTCGGCAGCAATGGAAGCTCTTGGTGTCGCTGATGATAGGAAAGTTAGCGAAAAACCTTACTGGTGGGACGAAGAAATTGAGAAGGAGATTCAGGAGAAACGGAAAAAATATCATCAGTTCCTTTCCTCTAAAAAAACAGAAGACAAAGAGGCGTATAAAAAAGCTCAGACGCAGGTACGAAGGCTCATAACCAAGAAAAAGAACGAATCTTGGGAGAGGAGCTGTAACAAAATAGACACGTACATAGGAGGAAGGAAAAGCACTGAGAGCTGGAAGTTGCTGAAAGGGCTGCGAAGGGACATGAAGCGTGACTTAATATCTCCGATATCCATTGATAAACTGGAGGGGTATTTTAAAAATTTACTGACAGAAAGGCGACCTGAATTTCAAGATGGAGGCGTAAGCTTGGAGTATACTAACGATAATCATAACTTGGAGATCCATATGGAGGACGTGGTAAAGGCCGTACGAGAGCTGAAGAACGATAAAGCTCCAGGTCCGGGAAATATCCCTGCTGAGTTGATCAAGTGTGGAACCTGCAAGCTGTTTCAACGGTTGAGATACCTGATGCAAGATTGCTTGGACGGTGGAAAGGTACCGACAGAATGGAAAGAGTCTTGGGTGTCACCTATATACAAGAAGAAGGGTAGAAAAGATGAGTGTGATAACTATAGAGGACTGTCGGTTGCAGGTACCCTGAGCAAAGTGTATGGAAAAATCTTGAAAGCAAAAATTGAAGAGGAGTGGAAAGAACATGAAGCGGAAGAGCAAGCAGGTTTCAGAGCCGGTCGGTCAACGATTGATCACTTATTTACCATCATCCACGTCATAGAGAAAAAGAAGGGAGTTGGCCAGGAATTACATCTAGTGTTTGTGGATCTCCAGAAAGCTTACGATAGTGTGCCATTGATGAAACTTTGGGAAGCCTTGAACAAAAGGGGTTTTAGTGGGGGACTAATTAGTGCTATTAAGGAATTTTATGGTGGGGCTTTCTCTAGGGTTAAATCGCATGGGGAGTTATCGTTGGGGTTTTTAATTACTAAAGGACTGAAACAAGGGTGTTGTTTGTCGCCAACCTTATTTAAAGTGTACCTGGAAGAAGTTTTAAAGGAATGGAAAAGATGCTTTTCGGGAATGGGCGTCCCGCTACGTGAAGATGGCACCCTTTATACTCTGTGCTTTGCTGATGATCAGGTGGTAATAGCTCAGGACGAAGAAGATGCGAATTACATGACGCGGAAGCTAGTGGAAGTATACCGAAAGTGGGGAATGGAAGTAAATGTGGTTAAGACGGAGAAGTTGGTTATCGGTGGTGATCAGCAAAGCATTGAACTGGAGGATGGCCGGAAGATCCTGGACTGTGAAGAGTATAAATATCTCGGAGTTCGGTTAACTAAGGACGGAAATTTGGATCGGGCCATTAAAGATCGGAATGTGCAAGGCAGGAAAGCTATCGCGATGCTAAATGGGGTTCTCTGGGACCAGAGTATCTCCAAGGAGACCAAAAGGAAAATTTACAACGTCATCGTGAAGAGTATCGTAACTTACGGGAGTGAGGTCTGGCAACTTAAGAAAAGAACTGAAGACATGCTTAGGGCAACCGAGATGGACTTTTGGCGAAGGTCTGCTGGGATATCGAGAAGAGAGCGTATCCGCAATGAAAGGGTACGCGAGATAATGGGTGTGGAAAAGGACATCGTGCACGATATCAGGTCCAAGCAGTTGGTCTGGTATGGACATGTGCGAAGGATGGCAGATGATCGGTTGCCCAAGCAGGTCTTCGATTGGGTTCCTCCCGGAAGGCGACGGCGTGGACGTCCTGTGAAAGGTTGGCGACAAGGGGTGGAGGAGGAGATCAGAAGGTGCCAATTGCCTGATGATCTCTGGGAGGATAGGGGGCAATGGCGATTGGGCGTCGCAGAGCGCGAGGCGGCGCTATAATCGCGACTTTATGTATGTATGTTTCTAAAAAAATATCAAGAATGCTAAGATTGCCCCTGAAAAATGTTGCCTTAGTTCTGAAATCACTCTAATTAACGTTAGACTTTTAAGGGTCAATATTTTCTCTAATTTCGTGCTCTCCTCTTAGTATGTTTTTCTTCAAGCTTTTTAGTACTTATCTTCTAGAAAAAGAGAAATGTTGTCAGTGGTGGTCTTTCAACAATCTTTCATTTTAGCAATAAGATTGATAGTCAGTCAACGCTAGTATTTTGATGTTTGAATTACTTTGAGTGTTTTTGAAGTTCTTAAAATCGCAAATTAAGTCGAAATTGTGAATTTTAAAATAATGTCTGGTGATTTCAATAAACTCTCCTGAGATTTTAGTAATTATTTTAAAACTGTCCTAAAAATTATCCGCTTTTTGACTAAATTGATTTAAGTGTTGAGAGCTTTATCAACCAAATGCTACGATTGCTATAATTCTCTGAAAGAGGCTTTGTCCATAGTAATTCTTTATACTTTACCTGATTATTTAGTGAATTTTGAAATTAATCAAAAGCTTCAGCTTGAAGCCATAACAACTGTTTTGAACCATGTTTTCAACTCTGTGTCAGATTTTGAATAAATATCAAACTTTTTCTATCAAACATTTTTTTCTCTCAAATTACTCTGTATTCCGCTTTAAAGATCCAAGGGGAAATTACCTTTATTTTAGAACCAAAATCTTAAGTTTTCAACCATCAGTAGGTACATAAGGGAATGAAGAGGGGAAACTAATTGGAAGCATTTATACCAGAGAAGTCTTAGGTGTCCGCTGTTGATGTAATATTTTTCATAAGATACTGTGTGCTTATTTTTCCCTCATTAAAAATAGAGTACACCAAAGTAGCCTTAAACCATTGACAATATTGACACGTTTAAGTGAATCAATATCATACACACCATCAGTAGGGTAGGAATGAATGGAAAATCTCACATTATTTTTGTTTTAATTGAATTAGAATTGTATTTATTATTAACTATTAACATTGCCAATCATTTAACAAACTAAAATAAAATGTGTTCGTCGAGTTGTTCCTTCAGTCAGAGAACATGAAAAAATGATCAAGTTTTATTACAAAAGGGAAACAAACAAGGAAAAAACATCACAAAATTATCCTTGCTCCGTAAGGAGCAATTAATTGGTGTCCTGCATGGAAAACAGACCTCAAAAAAAAAGGAAAAAAAGAAAGGTAATGAAGTATAATAACCAATTAATTACAAATAGAAAAAAAAATAAATTTACACATTATGAGTTAGGTAATTTTTTCTCTGAGTTCTGTTAAATTTTCTATCTACAAAATTGACTTCGTTAATAAAGACGTGCCTTGTAAGGACAATGCTTTCTATGTTCAAATTAGTAAGTATTCATTAACGTAGGATAAGTTAATAAAGACAATAAATTAGTTGACTAGTAAATGTATTAAAAGTATATCTGTTGTATCGTTTATTTTTTAGAAAAAACTGTGCACGGGAATTTAATTTTGTCCCAGTAATTTTGTTTTATGAATCATCTACAAATCAAAAATAGTAGTTATGATTAAAGCCTTTTGTTCTTGAAAAGATATCAGGCAAGTAAGGAAAACATCTTTGGAATGTTCTAAAAGTCAGTGGACGAAACAACAAGAATACTCTTATCCCTCTTCAAATGAATGATAAACATTTTTAACCCTTAAAAATTCTTCATTCTTTTTGTGTTAATTTCTTCATGAGTACAATTTTACACGGCCAAGAATATGTATTTATTAAGTGTAATCAAAAAAATATCATCACGGAAATTTCCATTGTAGGGAGGGTAATTTTTTTTTTTTGTTGTATTTCTTAAGTAAGTGAGGTTTTTTAAAAGTGCTTTCATTGCAAAAGAGGAAGAAAATGAGAAAAAATGGAGTTCTCTCCTTTTTTTCCCCAGAAAAACAGAAGAAATTTCTTCTCCTCTTCAATAAGATACTGTGCTTAAACAGTGAGAGTGCACTATGAAAATAATCCTTCATTCCCCAGCTCTCATCATTTTTTATTTTTTATTCCATTTTTAATTACCCCATTCAACACCTGGTAGGACTCTCTACCTGACCTGTGAGTCATCGTAAAGTCTTGAAATGTTAGGTAATCACACTTTGTTTTTTGGTTTGAACCATCCAGAGGTAAATTTAGAGTCTTTTGGAAAAGAGGTAGATCGAGAGAGTTTTTCAGAGTCTTCTTTTTGCTTAGAATTCCTTTTCTTTCCTAAAGTTTCAACTAATATGTGTCTCTTACTTTCATCAGAGTCGTTAGGATCAAAACGAACAACTGGTATTATGTATTCGCTGCTGTTTCGTGATTGTGGACGTAACTTACTCGTCGCATCACTAGCATCAGTTGAGTATTTTCTTGAGTAAGGATAGTCAGTCGTAGTCGTCGAATCAGATAATTTTCGGCTACGATCGTAAAGGGAATTGCTAGATGTGTAGTCTACCTTGTTTCCCGATGATTTACTGCCTCTTCGGTAATCATGAAAGCTATCAATGCTTTTTCCTAAGTACGAATCCCAGTTCTCTTTCTTACCCGTAAATATTAAATCATTAGAGGCACGTCTTTTTGTTTTGTATTCATCATTTGGCTGATCAACTGATTTGTTTTTCCCTGAAAGTTTCCCAAAAATGTTCTTAGTTTTTCCTTGTTTGTTTTTTGCAAGGTTTTCTTGATCATTTTTTCGACTTTTCACTGTGCTGGCTCCGCTGTGGGCTCTCCCTTTGAGGGGAGGTTTTGGAGGTTTCCCATCTGTTTGGTCTTGACTGTAGTCGATTTCCAGTGATTCACGGGGGTGTTTTGGCCTCCAAGGTGCGAGAACGCTGATGGATCGAGACAGGGTCCTTTTTTGAGGTGACAGGGAAACAGAATTATTGGATGAAAGCTCCTCTCTACTCATGGCACGTCTTCCATTACTTAAAACTGAGCTATGCAACTTTTTTGATCCAGGAATATCTCCAACTAGATAACAAAAACAAAGAGACTGATTAATTTTTAAAGTACAATACGCTACTAAAGTGAAGTTTAATACTTTGTCTGTATTTTTTTCGTCTTTTAAAAATTACGAAGAAAAAAGCTATTTTGCAATTTTGATTGCGAGTATTTATTATGACACCAATTTGATATGTCCCTAAAATTGAATTGATATCAGAGTTCATTAACTCATCACGGCCGGATTTACCTACTTGCCGCCCATGGACCGCCTGTGTTTTTCCGCCCCCCTCTCATTCGTTTTGAAACATTAATAAAAACCATCAAGTGAACGTGCCGGAGGGAGAAGAGTGCATAAGACGCGTTCACTCATGTTGGACACATTTTTTGCGTAAGCCCTGTCAACACTACTAGCGAAAGTTCAGTTCCGTAAACCTATCTCTGTGGGGACAAGGCCTTTCATTTGTAAGAAATGATGAACAAAAACTTAAAGAAAGAACAAACATAAAAGTGGTTTAATAATTTTAACTTCCGCCGCCGTGCCGCATGCCGCGCTGACCACACCGTCTTTGCCGCAATGCGTGAAGTATTCATGAAGTCTTGTAGGCACTGTGCGTTCCACGGCGCCGCGCCGACCGCTGCTGACCGCACTACGTTTGACGCAATGCGTGAAGTATTCATGCAGTCTCGTAGGCGCTAATATGTGTTACATGCCGACCGCCGCGTCGAAGGCTTCTCCTTTTCATCTCAAGTCCTCGTCATCATTTCTCTTTGCGCCGCGCCGCTCCAGGCCAAATTACGTGTTTGGTTTCTCTCTTAACTCAACTAATGAAAGGTGCGCAGTCTTTTGTATCACCGAAATACGACAAAATTAGAAATTAATGAACTCTCAGGAAATGAGAGATTTTGTCACCTTTTCTTGTTTGTAATTTTTTTCTGAATCCGATTTTTTGTATCTGCATTTAAAAAAATTGCAAAATTTGCCGCCCCCAAATTTTGCCGCCATGGGCCGCGGCCCATGTGGCCACCCCCGTAATCCAGCCCTGTAACTTATGCATTTTTTCTGTTTCTTAAAACCTACTTTTTTATCTCATTATTTCCCAAACGCTGGGTGTGAACTGGCTCGCAAATGATACAAGGGATGTAAGATAGACATATCACCTGTTGTTGCGTGTAGATAAACGACAGACTTTTGGGACGATCGGCTATCTCCTTCTGTGTTGCTGTCTGGTGAACTATCCGTGTTGTATTTTCTATTTGTTGAATAGGTTCTCATTTCCGGTTCCGATTCAGAAAATCTCAACGTTCGGTCATCACTGCTTCGCCTTGGTGATGATATATGGTGAATTCGTACTTCATCGTCATTTTCACTGCCTTCTGATACTGCGTTATGACGTAGTTTCGAGACAGCCTGAAAAACAGCAAAAATCAATGTGAGGTACTTAAAGATTTAATTCCTTCCCTGAAAAATAAACAAGTAGGCAATGAAATTGATTACGACAATCAAGCTGTTTCTGTAGAAATAAGAAAACAGATGCATCACAGAAAATTTTACCCCCAACAACTGATAAGTAGATTGAACTAAAATTTGTCTCAAACAGAACACTGTTGAAATATGTTGAAACTTTAACTAAAGTAATTTTACTTTTTCCGTCGAATTGTGACGCGGCAAGAATACTGATTTTCCACGCAACAGCAGAGCAATGAAAAGCGCCTTCATTTTCTCTTGACGCAATACATCGTACCGCAAGCGTTGGAGACGCAACACTCTTCTGAAGGAGCAGAGACTGAGAGGTTTTTAATTTTTCCTCGTCGTTGGAACACATTTTTTTCTACCTTTTTTGGATGCGTTTGATCCTGTAGCTCAGTGCATCCTCCCAGATTCAAACTCTTTCCTTTTTTTATCTATATATTTACTTTGTTTATTTAATTTTTTTCTACGTCAAGACGTGTAACTGTAACGCTCCTTACGAGAAAACCAATGACTTTTTGCCCGTGGCTTATTCTGTAAAATGGTGTCATCAAAAAAGGAACCACCATAACATGGTCAACACTTAAATGTATCTAATTATTTTTTTTTTTTTTTTTCAAACAAATTTTCAGGTCCCTCAGACGGTCGTCGTTAATTTTGCCCGTACCCATTGTGCCGCTCGTTTCTCTGTCGGATCAAAAACACCAATTTCGCAAATTTGGTGTTGTCTTTGACCAGTTCATCTACGATTCTGTCAGAGACCACGACATTTCCGCGAACCACCGAACGTCCGTCAGATGGGTCCAGTCCAGACTCTTATATCTTCACATGACAATAGGACGTATTTCTGTCAAACGGAACTATGTGCATTATGACTTGAGCCCTGTTATGCATAAATTCTTATGGGTCACAGGGCTCATGTCTTAATGCACATACTTCCGGTTGGCAGAAATAAGTCCAATAGACCATCAATGCTCAACATCTCTCAGCACCCGTCGATTTAATCTCCTATGACGTTCCATCACGTTTCCTCGCATAGAAGCGCATAGATCAGTTGCGAAGCGTGTATAACCAACTATCGATATTTTTTCATTTTAATTCATGGTAAAGAATCGATCGTTAAAGTGCGTGTTTGGAACACGCCGATAATCGATCTTTTTCCACAGGTTTAAATGGCAGAGCAATCAATAAATCGCGAAGCACGCCACGTCACTGGGTATGATTCGCTCCGTCAAAGCACGAGTATCTTTAATTCGGCTGTCAGCCAGGAAAACTGATTTGTACTTGTGACAGCGATTTTTTCATGGTCGCTCGCGATTACTGTATAATTGAGTCTCTTCCCGCCTACTTTTTTTTTCACCTGCGTAGCTTTTTTTTCATTTTTTATAGATCTATTTTTTGTTTAGCAGGTTCCCTAGGAATACCCGATAGTACTTTTAAAATTTCCATGGCGGCGCACAGTGGATCGGGTCAATAGGAGAGGTCGGACAAAATTTTGAAACTTTAAACGCTCATAACTCTGAACTGAAACTGTGAGGTTCTGAAAGTGGTTCCAGTAGTTTCCTTGTGAAATTTTCTTCTGTTAGCACCCCTTTGAAGTAATAAATGTGACGAAGTAAGCATCAAAATTTGCAGTTTTAGTCAAAAATTTCATGTCCAACCTCTCTAATTGACTCGATCCTCTGCACGGCGGGGGTGGGGGGGGGCGACCTGATCCCCCCAAGACGATTCATCCGAGCAGGGGCGGACTGGCCTTAAATTTACTGGGGGGAGCGCTAAAGGGGGATCCGGGGGCCCTCTCCCGGAAAATTTTTGAAATTACGCCTTTTCAGAATTAATTTTAGACTATTTTAGACTCATATTTTAAAATTTATGGTCCAAAAAAGATCAGAAATTCAAGCTATAGAGATAGGGGGAAGGGGTATATAATTAGTATCATGTTACTCTGGATGAAAAAACGAAATCACTTATATTTGGAATTTTTCATTCAGCATTTATTTAATATTTATTTTCCTCTTCCAACAAAAACTTTGTACCAAAGTTAACTTGGTATACAGAAGGTACAGAGAATCAATCAAGTATAGTTTCGAATCGATGTGCTCTTTGAGTTAGAAAAAAAGACTCTTGCAAGGATCTTAGAATGGCATAAAATGACTCCTTCGGGGCCTTTTCGGATCGAAAATAAAGGGCCCTGTTCTCCTGGGGCTTTTTATGGAGGACAACTCGAAGAAGCTCCTTCGGGGCTTCTGCAAAGCGGCAAGATAGGGCCCTAGAAATCGGCCAAAAGAGGCCCTTTTTGGCCGCCTGAAGGGGGCGATCGCCCCCTCGCTACCACGGCCAGTCCGCTCCTGCATATGAGCGTATCCTTATTTAGTACTCACACGGGAGTGTTTTTATTAAAAAAAAAAAAAAAAAAAATTGCTGATTCAACAATTCAATTGCTAAAAACAGTGAGTGCAATGTTTCAACGCAGATTTTACAACAAAAAATGCTACTTTAACCACATTGTAAACTAATTTAACCACGGGGGTGGTTAAAGTAGCATTTTTTTGTTGTAAAATCTACGTTGAAACATTGCACTCACTGTTTTTAGCAATTGAATTGTTGAATCAGCAATTTTTTTTTCCGTGCACGTAAGATCGCGGAGCTTCCCAAATGGGATCCATTGAGACTTTGGAAAGGGTGGAACTTTGAGGGGCTTACCTTGCTAGGTTTGGTTTTGTTTTTGTGGGTTAGTCGATCGAGGGATTTGAACCAGGTATTGCGGTCGTCGGAGATGTGCGGTTGACTGCGATGACTTCGTTGACTGTTGCTGATGACGGTCGTCGCCTCGGACGGCGGGCGGGGGCTCGGGGTCGCCAGTCTTTGTCGCACCGCGTAATACTCCTGCAACATAATCGAGCCATTCATTGAGTATGAACATTGAGCCACCACACCTCTTCTTCACGTAGCTTCAGTGGCTACGCGAAATTCAGCCGGGCAGTCCGTATCAGTGCTGCCAAGCGGTCGTCGTGAACCATCCATGCCCCGATTCCCAAGTACAGGGTTATCACAGTCAGGGAAATGTCAGGGAAAATGACGCAAATGACGAACATGTCAGAGAAAACTTGTTGAATCACCTGCACTTGCTTTGAAGAATGGGTTTGAGGTTTCGAACAACAAATTTTGCCTGAAAACTATTTTCAATTATGCCCTCTTAACCACCCGTCACATCTTCAATTGTCAGGGAATTTCACCAAAATGTGTCAGGGAATTTCACCAAAATGTGTCAGGGAATTTCATTTTCTAAAATCTGTGGCAACCCTGCAAGTAGAATTTTTCAACGGAAAATCGCGTTGTTATGAAATTGAGTCGAGATTTCTTCACGATTTTTTGGAGCTAAAATCGCTATAGGATCATCAAAATTCGAGCGATTACCCCGGATTTTGCCCCGATTTTATCTCTGTAAAATCGTATTTAATAAAATTGAAATTTTATCTCAATTTATCACGATTCTCTTATCGATAATATTGCGATAAATCGTCGTCGATAAAAACACGATTTTATTGCAAATTTACGCGGTGAAATCGCAATTTTTTCTCCCATAATATTGCAATAAATCGACGCTGATAAAATCGCGATACATTCTCCTATCAAATCGCAACTTATCGTGCTCACTGCTACTTGGGTTTACGGCTTGGAAAACTAGGCAGGTCAGTGATTTAGTGGGAGGGGGGAGGCTTTTTCCCTAAAACCAGATTTTTTTTTTTATTTCTTGGTTGCTTTATTGGTTTAAATTCCGATTCGAAACCTACTGCCATCTAGAGATTGTATTTAGTGTCCAAGGCCGGATTTAGGGGGTGGCCACATGGGCTACGGCCCATGGCGGCAAAAGGGGGCGGCAAATGTTGTAATTTTTTCAATTGTAGGTATCAGGAAAAAAACCTGATCCAGAAAAAAAATTACAAACGAGAAGCGGCGGAAAAATCTCTCATTTCCTGAGAGTTAAAGTACGGTAATTTCCAATTTGTTTGTCTTTCAGTGATACAAGAGACAGCGCCTTTCATTAGTCTAGTTGAGAGAGAAACCGAACACGCAATTTGCCCGGGAGCGGCGCGGCGCAGAGAGCAATTGAGGAAAAAGATGAAGGAGAGGAGATGGAAAGGAGAAGCCCTCGGCGTGCCGGTCAGCATGAAACGTACATTAGCGCCTACAAGACTTCATGAATACTTCACGCATTGCGTCAAACGTAGTGCGGTCGGTAGCGGTTGGCGCCTTGAAACTCATAGTGCCTACAAGACTGCACGAATACTTCACGCATTGCGTCAAAAACAGACACTTACCGCACCCTCTTCAACCAATAGGATCGCTCTATACTGCCGTATTAAGGAGAAACGCCGTATGAGCACTCGAAAGTTACCTCAGAAAATAGTTATTTTTGAAGAAAGTTATGAATATTTCTTTTTGAAATTTTCGGGAACTTCAGGTAATATTGAGAACAAAACTATCGGAAAAATTGGAGGAAAAATCTTTACGAATTTTCTTGAAAATTGGTGATTTATCGTAGGAAATTAGCAACGCTTGAAGGTTCATACGGCGTTCTTCCTTAGCACGGCAGTAGACTCCCTTTGTCTTATTTGTCACTCAATTTCAATAATCAGCCCGCAGCTAGTGAATACCATCTTGAACAAGGTTTTTCAACGTTAAACCGCAAGGAAATACCGAAGACTGTCGTTGCCATGTCATCCGCGCTGAAAGCCGGAGGATCCCCGGCCCGGTGTCCACGCGTCGCGGTTTTATCAATGACTGGAGGGCGATTTAGCGGATTTTTTCACCCGTGGGTCGGACCTTCAGACTGACCAAAAAAGGCATTAACCGTAAACTCAATGCAAAACCAGTCGTGGCTGATCCTCTCCACCCGCTCGCTCTTTCCTCAAAATGTTCCCGACACAGCTGTTAATCGTACCTGCTCGTGTTTACACGGGCGACCAACACGAATTGGGCTCATCTACCGTGATAGCGAAGAGAGCAGAAAGTGTCAAATTTTCGAAATCGAGTTCGTTTCAAAATTCGTCCAGGGTGTCTACAAGTCCGGAATTTCCGGAAGGTCCGGAAATAGTACTGATTTTTTAAGCGCGGTTCGGAAGTACTAAAAAAGTGCGGAAATTACATAAGAGGGTCCGGAATTTTTTTTGTCATTTTTGTCGCAATTTTTTGTCGCAGTGAGAAATTTAAATTTTTCGAATTTCGTCGATTGGAGGTACTGAGAAAGTACTGAATTTCTTGGGAATGTATTGGGAAAGTGCTGCAAAAGTACTGATTCTTGGCCAGTCTATTTTGGTAGACACCCTGTTCGTCAAATTTCGTTTAGATGAAATCACTGAAATAGTTAAAACAGCAAAATTCATCATAATTGTATAAAAACGAAACACTTGAGAAAGCCGCAAGTGCGCAAAAAATGACGTAATTTCAGGCAAGACGGCAGTAAGTGATTTTATTCCTCCAGAGAGCCAATAAAAACAGCACGTTCAAGGAAAGTGCCCGAAAGCCGCCTTCTTCAATTTCCATCCTGAAAATGTGTTTGTTGTGTGTCCAAAATGCAACCACGAAAGCATGCAGAAGATAGCACTGATGGTTGTCTTGCCTGACAACAACCTAGCATAGAAATGAAAAATACCCTTTTAATGTAATGAAAATAAAATCAGTCGATTTTTAATCCAGGGTGTCTATAAGTCCGGAATCTCCGGAAATAGAACTAATTTTTTAAGGGCGGTCCGGAAGTGCTGAAAAAGTGTGGAAATTCCGCAAGAAGGTCCGGAATTTTTAATTTTTTTGTCATTTTTGTCTCAATTTGAGAGAAATTCAAATTTTTTAAATTTTATAAATTTCATCAATAATTGGAGGTCCTGAAAAAGTACTGAATTTTTCTGTTGAGGATGTACTGAATTTCCTGGGAATGTACTGAAAAAGTACTGTAAAAGTACTGAGTTTTGGTCAGCCTGTTTTAGTAGGCACCTTGTCAATCATTCAGACTACTTCTAGGAGTCTTTCGGACGATTAGTGGCAATTTAACAAAGAACGGAGGCTCCTTTCAATAAAAGTTTCCGGCCAGAAGCTTCTGAGCCTGTTTTCTCAAAACCTCATTTTTGCACTTACTGCTCTCTTCGCTATCACGGTTGTCTTCTCCTCTTTCGATGATCGATCGCATTACTCTGCGGACTAATTGTCAGCTGTCGCGAGATTAAGGTTTCAATACCCGAAATTCGTGCCGAACGTGCGAGCGTATTCCTATCCAGCGAGCGATGGCGGGGGCGCTTCGAAGAAACGATAAATCTTCGTACCGTTATAGAGCTTCGATACCATTCACTCACTCTTGCTATGACTCCTCGCTTTGGTCTCTCAATTTTGGCAATGATCAGTTCTCGCAATGGGTTCTTGCAAGGTGGTTGAAATGCGGAAGTAAGGCATTGACGAGGCGATCGAAGGAAGGGTGCTGGGAAAGCCAAATTTGAATCACACTAGGACCGAAATGGAGTTCTTACACGTGTCAGAAATTCGCGATTCACAAAGTACTGATTCCTATTTAAAATTTCGCGAGAAGCACGATGTACGGAGAGAGGTCATATGGATCTCTGAAGTTTTCGGATGCGAGATCCGAAAACATCAGAGATCCATATGACCTCAACTTCTGGTCCCACGCATGAAGTTTTTTTTCTCCGTGTGGTACCACTGATTTTCTCTTAAATTATCTCCGAAGCTCAAAAAAAGCTCTCAAAGTTGAGACCGTAATGGAGGGGATATCCCACGCTACCATGAGAGTCCACCTCTATATCAAGACAAACTCGCTCTGCAACGATAGTGATCGAATACATTTATAGGGTTGCTACTTTTTTGGGGGACCCCAAAACTGAAAACACGGCAACCATGCTAATGTGTTTGCTCCCTATTTTTGCATGGAGAGTTTGACTAGATTTAGATCGTAACATATCACGGTCTGTTTTCTACTAAACGTTTAAAGTAAAACCAGTATTTTAGGATAGTCTGTTTCATATCTTAATGCTCGGTTACTTTTGCCATAGTTTCACCTTATGGCATGAGTAAAAGAGCCGTTTCAGACCTGATCTCGGTAAAACACCTGAGTAGGTGGTCTCACTAAGTGAATCTCTCAGTTCGCTGGACAAATAAAGTCTTGCAAGTTGCACAATCCGCAAGAGTTTACTTCAAATTATTACGGCTTTAAATTTGCTCTTGGCCAATCAACAAAAGTAATCGTAACCTTGGCTTTAAAACCCATTCATCGTTCTGAACCATGCAACTCGATGACCTCATCTCATTCATCGTTTTACTATCCGGGTGCAAGGTCCTTTTTGCGTAAAATTTGCCTGTTGAACACTCCCTGATACGGGGGAATTCAAAGAATCCACCTATTCGCGGCAACATTGTTTATTGTATTGATTGATTCACCCATTCCATTGTTCATTTCGATCTAAAGACTCAGCACATCAAGAAATGAGTATAAAGTTGCTCTCGTCGAAAATCACTATACCGTTGAAATGGTCAATACAGTGACCGAGCATTTGCCTACCCCACTATCTTAACAGTGGTGATTCTTGGAAGTTGATAACACCGGATTTCGTCAATTAAAACACAAGCAGAACAATCGACCCAATTATATTAAAGCAGGCTACCTCTTCTAGAATCGATTTTTTGACGGATTTGAATGTAGAGAAATAGGGTGTTGCTAACTTTTACAAATCGACACTGTCCCTAGGAGCTGTCCCTAAATCACGTAACGCCCTTTTTCAGCATGTTTGACCCCTCCCTCTTCAACGCTTGTTGTGTGTCCCCGCCCCTTGTAATGTTTCTGTGACGTAGGTCCCGGCCCCTATCATTCTAGCACGCAAAAA